TCACAGCCATCATCACCTACCATGACCGGTAAGGCAGCGCTGTCTGCTGCAGTGTCTGTGCCTCTTGCAGGCCTCACTCTTCATCCTTCTGCCCTAATCTGTGCTTTTGTTTTGCATTTAGAGAAAACAGGCCCCGAAATGGAGGCATTTGCGTGGCCAATCACACATCCCCCATCGACGTGATCATCCTGGCCAGTGATGGCTACTATGCAATGGTAAGGTCTGCACCCCAGCTCTGCCTGCTGTTGTGTTGCTTGCTTTCCAGCAAGCTTGACCTCCCTTGGTGCTTGCTGCATCTTTACATTTAGAGCCTGGAACATTTCCTGTCAGCCTTACAAGGACTGGGGTAGAAAGATAAACTTCAGCTTAGCAACAAAGCTATAGGAGCTGCCTTGGCCTGCGTGTGTCCCCAGGTCTTGTAACTTACATTTTCTCACCCTGTTCAGGTGGGTCAAATCCACGGAGGGCTCATGGGTGTGATACAGAGAGCCATGGTGAAAGCTTGCCCCCACGTCTGGTTTGAACGTTCTGAGGTCAAAGACCGTCACCTCGTTGCCAAAAGGTGTGACAGCTGCTAGCTGCAGGGGGGCTCTGGAGGCTGGGAAAGGGTTGGGGGCTGCTGTGTGGATTGCCAGGACAGCTCCAATGATGATTGGTGACTCTCTTCTGTTTAGGCTCACAGAGCACGTCCAGGACAAGAGCAAACTGCCTATTCTTATCTTTCCGGAAGGTGAGTTGAGGAGTGAGGCCAGGCAGGCACCTGGTGGAGGAAGGCACAGCAGCCTTCCTGTCTCAGTGATGTTACACATCTTGTGCACATACAGAGCAGGGTTTGGAGTGTCAGGGGCAATTGCTGGATTGCCTGTAGGTGTATAGCTTAGACTTCTGAACTGACCTGCAAAGATTGTGCTTGTCTCTTACAGGAACCTGCATCAACAACACGTCTGTGATGATGTTCAAAAAAGGGAGCTTTGAAATTGGAGCCACAGTTTACCCTGTAGCCATCAAGGTATGAGAAGGCAAACATTTTTACAGCAGAAATAGTTTTCTGCTTACAAGGTCAGCATTGATAACCCCATATTGGCACTACTGGGTCACAACAGCCTGGTCCTCAGACCACGGGATATGGGGATGCTGAGCACTGATGTGCAGTGGGGGAGGGATGGCCCGTAGTTGGATTTGATGTAGAACTCAGAGCCTCGGGGAAGGTGCATCCATTACCTGACATTCATAAGCTCTCCTTCCTCCACAGTATGATCCACAGTTTGGAGATGCCTTTTGGAACAGCAGCAAGTATGGCATGGTGACCTACCTCCTTAGGATGATGACCAGCTGGGCCATTGTGTGCAGTGTGTGGTACTTGCCCCCAATGACCAGACAGGTAGGTAAGGTGAACCTGCCCTGTCTGATCTGCTGCCTGTTTGGCCTCATGCTCTGTCTGAACAGTGTCGTTTTCCTTCAGTGTGATGAGGATGCTGTCCAGTTTGCCAATCGAGTGAAGTCAGCTATTGCCAGGCAGGGAGGCCTTGTAGATCTGCTCTGGTGAGTCTTGCCAGACATTTCTCCTCCCAGCTCTATTCTTTGTTCTTGGGTCCTGATAACGTGTTTGTAAGCTGCAAAGCTAAGTCTGTGTCTTGCACTGGGCAAGTAGACCTGTGTAGAAATGGGGATGCATGTCCAAAACTGCCTTTCTATGGTCAAGACCAGCATTTTGACTTCTGTTCTGTGTGTTGGGCACCAAAATTTCATTCTCTGAATGCAGCTTGCTCTGGGATGCCCCAGTTCTTACTTGATGTTGTTCAGCAAAGCATTGTGAAGCTTGAGAACCTCCCTTGTCAGGCATTGAGATCTTTGGAGCCTGAGAGGTTGAGGGTCCCTGCAAGCAGCATGCTGCAGTGGTGCTGGATGTGCTGAGCACTGTGCAGGGCTGTGTGTGACATTCTTGGCAGAGCATGAGGTGAAAGGAGCCCTGCCCCTGTGTACAGTCAGCCTTCAGTATGCCCTGTTAACCTAAGGGACAAATGCACTCATCGGGTTGATGTGGGAGTTCCAGCCTGCTCAGAGCAGCAGTGTCAGTGTGTTCCTTTAGCTGCATTGTAAATGATTCTTTTTCTAGGGATGGAGGTCTGAAGAGGGAGAAGGTGAAGGATACATTCAAGGAGGAGCAACAGAAACTTTACAGCAAAATGATTGTAGGCAACCATGAAGACCGGAGCCGCTCCTGAGTCCTCTGTCTCCAGCACTGTCTCCAGAGCTCTGCCTCCAATGTGAGCCAGGTCTTGTACGAAGCAGCTCCATTTCTTTTGGACTTTGGCTACTCCAGAGCTGTTTGGACTTACTCCTTCATCTACTGGTTCTTCTTTCCAGGAGGCATTATTACTGCCTAAAGCCTTCAGGCCTTGGGCAACTCTTGGCACAGATGCCTTCTTGTTACTGTTACAGTAAAGCCCCTTGCAGGGGCAATATTAAATGAAACACTTCTGGTGTCATATGCTTCCATCTGGTGTTTACAGGCCCAGGGGGAGGGCTGGTGTGTTGATGTGCATGTGTGTCAGTCACAAGTCTCCCACGGCAGGGAAACTGGTGAGCTGTGCTCAGATAAGCTGCCTTGACAACCAAGGGAACCTTACAAGCCTGTGCCTCTCAGGTTTGCAGCACAAAATGCGTATTGCTGCTCCAGCCTCCAGGCTCATGGAGCTTTTCCCTGCCTCAGGTCCTTCACACTGAGCCCCCCAGGTGTGCCCTGCTCTGAGTGGCTTTGGGGAGCCACAGGGAGGATGCCCAGTGCCCCCTTGGTGTCTCTGCACTGAGCTGCAGACAGGCATGCTGCACTGGGCTGGGGACATGAGCATCACTGCTCCTTTGGGGCAGTTCTCCAGTCTCCCTTCGCCTTTCCCCAGCCACTTCTCCCTGAGCACTGATCACAACCAGTGCTCCACTTTTCCAGAGGGACGAGGCATTGCCTTTGGCTGTGCAAATAGCTGCACACAGGCAGGGGCTGTGCCAGGAGCAAGCATTGCCATGCTGGGTGCCTATAATGCCCCTGCACCCAGAACTAAGACCTGGCTGCAGTTGCTTGCTGGTCTGCCTGCAGCAGGGCCCTGGCTCTGTCACGGTGGCAGCAGCAGTCTGTGGCTCCTGGCTGCTTCCATCCTCGCTGTGCTTGGGGCCCATCTTCACCATCCTGCTGCCGCTGGGATGCTGTGCAGCAGGCTGGGCAGGTGAGCAAGCACGCATCCATCTTTCCTCAGCTCCCCCTCCCTTTGCTCCCAGTCAATATGTCTCTCTCCGATGGGAAAGTTAATAAATTTAGCTCTAGATTAAAAGTATTGATCATTTCATTTGTAAGCGATAAATAACCGGGGGGAGCGTGGGGCAGCCCTTGGGGTAGGGGCTGCCGGCCCTGGCAGCAGCAGCCATGCAGCCCGTTGGGGCTGGGGGCCCTCATATGCATTCTGCCCAGATGCTGGCATTGATTTGCTATTAGTCTCCCCACACCACCCAGTAGCACATCATTCCCGGAGCCGCTATTAATGGCCTTTTGATAAATAATCACTTGTAAGTCAATAAATTTTTATTAAACAGTGTGGCGCTTTGATTTATGAAAATCCGACGGGGTTTGTCTGGGAGAAAAGGGATGTGGAATTGAAACGGAGCTGCCATCCATCTGCCTGCCAGCCCACCCTGCTCGAGCTCCAAGTAGTGCCCAGTGAGGAGCACAAGGAGGGCTTGGGACGCAGCACTGGCTCTCACCATGGCCTGGGCTCTGTGAGCCCTGTGAGCTCCGGTGCTGGCTGGAACATCCACAGCAGCCATCAGCCGTGCCACGTGCTTGGCACCATGCACTGGTTCTGGCTGCAGGGCTGCGGGACGAAGAGAGCTGGAGGTGGGATTAATCCTGCACTGCAGCCCCGTGAGCAGCTCTGCAGCTCAGGTCCAGCCGTGGGATGCTGAAGGCAGCCAAGCTGTGGCTGCGATTTGTCACTCCTGGGCTGCAGCCGGCCCTTTGCCACCTGCTTTATTTGTCTCCCAGCACTGACGTGGCATCAGACAGGTGTTAAACTACTTAATCACTTTAAAATTGTTTTAATTTTCTGTTTTCTATTGATCTCCACAGCACCAATTAATCAGCTCACTGGACCAGGCAGTTAGTACATTAAAAATTGTCAGCCACGTCGAACAGCTTAGAAAATGTCAAAAAAATATCCCAGCAGCAGCCTCACACTCTGGCCACGCAGAGAACGCTCCTGCACTGCAATGCCCAGGGATGGTGCATGACTCCACAGCCCTGCAGCGGAGCAGCATCAGCTCAGAGGAACCCAGGGGCTGCGTGGTTGGGGTAGCATTGCACCTCCCATGCTTGCTGGGGTAGTTCAGCCTTCCCCAGATCCCCAAGATGTGCAGCAAAGCTGTCCGGGATACCTGCAGAGCTCAAAGTGTGGTGGAAAGCAAGGACCTGGAGCTGTGTGCGTGCCTTGGGGCTGGGCAGCTGGAGGCCCAGTGTCAGCCTGCAGCATCCCAATGCCATAAGGGAGCAACGGGGGCTGCTGTGATGCAGGACCTGCACTGTGCAGGTGGGGACGTGGACACTAATGCTGCCTGCAGCTGCCAGAGGGGCCCCCAACAGCACCTCCGCTCCCGTGCCACGCTGCCAACCACTGCGCAATGGCCCAGCAGCACCTTATCATTGCCTATTGATTTCTCCACCAGGACACCGCAGCACTGTTTGCTTGCACTTTGTCAGCTCTCGGCGGCCCCAGCTGCAGCCCCTTGGCACCTCAGGCAGCAAGGACAGGTGGTGGCCCTGTGCCATCAACAAGCAGAAGCTGAGCCAGTGGGAGCTGAGGAGGGGGGGACATGGCCCCAGGAGTGCATGCAGCCTGCACCGAGCTGGGTGCAGCATGGGGGGGCCCCCACAGGTTGGCAGCAAACAAGCCAGGGCTATTGCTGTCGCATCAATCCTGCAGCCCCGACAGGTGAATGGGCTCTCACTCACACAGTTAAGATAAATGATATTTATTTGCTGCTAATAGGTTCCAACAAGAGGCCCTAACGAGTGACTTTTGGACAGCACTTCTTGCTACCAGCACACACCCAACCTGGGGAAACTCTGGGGGACATTCCTGCCCCATACATGGACCCCCAGCCTCAGCCCCTTCCCAGCCCAGCCTTTGGGGCACCCCGCATTGCAGACCCATGTGGGGCAGGGGCTTTTATTTCATTGCTGCTGTTCCCAGACCCTGAGCCCTGGGCAGGAGCTGCAGTGGGGGCACAGCAGAACCCATTCCCAGGTGCTCAGCCACTGTGTGTGCCCAGCCCCAGCACAGAGAAGGCTGCACGGTGCTTCCTCAGCAGCAGCCGAATCTTCTCATCGTCAGAGTCAGGGTCCAGGGGCTTGTTGTACTCATCATCCTCGGTCTCAGAGGCTGCCCGCTCTCCACTGGAGCCCCCCGCCCGCTGCGAGGAGGAGGAGGGCTCCAGGGCACTCTTCTTCCTCCATTTGGTGCGTCGGTTCTGGAACCAAACCTGCAGCCCAACAGGGCTGTTAGCAGCTGCCTGCCACATGCCCCACACACCACACACCCCCCACTCACCTTCACCTGGGACTCAGTCATGCCAAGGGAATATGCCAGCCGTGCCCTCTCTGGCCCTGCCAGGTACTTGGTCTGTTCAAATGTCTTCTCCAGAGCGAAGATCTGATGCCCTGTGAAGGTCGGACGCGTGTGCTTCTTCTTGTGCAGGCTGTCAGTCAGGTGTGCAGGGGCTTTGGGACAAGGGCAGTGGGTGAGCACCGGACTCATGGCTCTGGGCAGCCCAATCCCCATGCCCCTTTATGCCGCTGCTCTCCTCCAAAGTAAAACAATATCCTGGCTCCACAGCTTCGACCTCGTCCCAGGAGAGCCGTGTTGCCTCCAAGGCTGGGCTCTGCACCTCCTGCTTGGGAGCAGAAACTATTTGCTGTGCTGAGAAGGGAACAAGCATTAGGAGCAGCATGTGACTGTGGAGCCACGCTGCACTGGGAACACTGTGCCCATGCCCCCCACCTCCCTAAGCGTGCAGTGGGAAGGAAGTACGAGCTGATCCATCTGCTCCACGAGCATCACCTGGAGAGGGGAACAGGGCTGCAGGTCACTGAGCCAGAGCCCCAGCCTCTGGGTTTTCTGTGGGCTCCTAACGAGCTAGTGCCTGTGCTCACCCAGCACAGTCCCATCATGGCAGCAATGTGCTCCTCAATGCCCCTGCCAGCTGCGTGCCAGCCATGACAGATCTTGTTCCTGGCATTCACCAAGGGATGCTGCTGCCAGGGGTTGGGAGTCTCTGTGAGTAGACGGTCTGCCTGGGCTCTGCCTGGGCTCTGCCTAAGCTCCCCAGCCGTGCCCCCCCCAGCACATCCCCAGGTGTCAAGCTGTGCCTCACACAAAGCAATGGAGGAGATGGGGTCCCACCAGCTGCCCACCCTCTCCCAGCCCCATACTTACGGCCACCGCACTGCCGGCTGCCCTGCCAGTCGGGTGCCTCTGCCCAGCAGCTCCTGCCCCGTGGCACGTAATCGCTGCTGGCTTTAGGGAGGGCCCCCACCTGTGGCCCATAATAGACGCCTGGGGAGCTCAGTCCATTAAATCCACCTGCGTGGGGGTAGCTGGGCAGTAGGCTGCTGTTTGGAGTCGCTGTGGGCCGGCCGAGGATGTCGGAGATGCCGTGTGGGGTGCCGGCAGCCAGTTGGGCACCCAGCCCGGGGGGACCCAGCTTGTAGAAGGAGCTCTGCACCGAGTATTGGCAGACAGGTGCCTTGGCCTCAGGGAAGGGGGCCAGTGAAGGGCCGCTGAGCAGGAAGGTGCCTGGCAGGTTGGTGTCCATGGCTCCTGGACTGCTCTCAGAGGCTGGCACTCCGAGGGCATGATGTGCAGCCCATCCCGGTCGGCCTTGGGGCTACCGGCTCGCAGCGTCCACACCAGCTGCCACGGTGCCAATGGGCAGCCAGAAGGCTGGTGAGTTGCCCCAGGGGAGCCAGGTCCACGGCAGCAGGTGGTCACTGCCTCGGTGGCAGCTGCCCCCGGCTGACCCCGCACCCGACGTGGCACCGGCACCGGGCACTCAACTTGGGCTTGGGAAGAGGCAACATTTCTCTGATAAAGATGAGGTCTATTAGAATACGGCGCTCCCATTGGCCGAGCGGTTTCAAAGGCTAGCGCCCATAGGCCGGATCCCCGCAACCTCGATTCTAATTGGCTACGCTCACGGGCAGCCCGGGATTGGCTCTGCCCAGACAAATCGTGCTTTGAGAGCCGGCGGCGAAGAAGCCGCCGCGGGGCCCGGGCTGCGAGACGCTGCGTTGCAGCACCACGGCCGCTGGACAGCGCCGGGCGGACCGCCGGGGGGGGGGGGGGGA